CGTGAAAGGGTTTAGAGAAGAAGAAACGAATGATATGCAGCCTGTAATTTTTCCCAGAGCCAACCTTTCCAACCTTTCCTTAATGTTGTGGGCTGGGATTTCAATGGAGCGCCACACAGAATTGGTTGTTGTTCGTGGAGGGTCTTTGACGGCCATTCGCTCTGTAGATGAGATTTTGGAATCTCATGTGTTGCCTATCCTCAACGAAATCGGCGATCGCTCTATTCTAATGCACGATAATACACGCCCACATATCACCCGCATAGTGCAAACGTTCCTTCAACAGAACAATATTGAGGTTTTAGCCTGGCCAGCACGTTCTCCAGATTTGAACCCCATTGAGCATTTATGGGATAACCTAGGAAGACGAATAAGAGCGTGTGCAACACACCTGATACACTGCAGGATCTTGAAAGGGCTCTTCGGGAGGAATGGGCTATCCTCCAGCAAAGGGACATTTCCCGACTGGTGCAAAATATGCCGAGGCGTCTTCAAGAAGTAGTGAATACAAGTAAACACGCGCTACTAAACGGTGATGTAATTAATTTCTTTTAGAATAATAATGGTTTGTTTTTCAATTTTTTTTCTCTAATCATTCTTACCCAATCACATTTTGATTATTAAAGATTAAAAAAATTATAAAATTCCATAAATACTAAGTATTATCTACAAATACCATGTATTCTATACAAATACAACTTTTTTTTACAAGTGGCAGAAATATTTTTAGATGAAAACATGGAAAAATCAAGTGGGTGGAATTTTTGCCTGTCAGTGTATATTCAGCTTTCATCTTCTTGTACGCCTTTTACCTCCAGTGGTGTTTCAAATGTCCAATGTGACCATTACTGAGGTCACTTGTTGATTCTAATTGCCTTTACTAACTGTGATTGTCTTTGACCTTGTATTGTGCCTTTGATATTCTCGAGAAACAAAACAATATTATATCTACTACCTTTTAAACTAACATTGATATAACATCTCATATAGACACATATTAATTATATAAGTAAAGGAGGGCAATAATCTTTTTGGGCGGAAGGGCATCCATGGTAGTGTTGCCCAAAATTGGTCGCTGTCCTGCAGTCTTGATCTTGATCTTGTACTTCTGCAAGACCAAGACCACAAACATTTTTGTAAGATCAAGACCAAGACCATACCCTGCAAGTATTGCGCAAGACCAAGACTAGACCCTATGTAAGTCTTGCAGTTAAGTCAAACTGAGACTATTTTCAGATATAGTACGGTGCTTAAACATTTTAATCATTTATTCCAAATAGCGTCGTTTTCCTTGTAGGATTGTATATTTGAGTATAGCTTTCCAAATAATAATAAAAAATTAATCTTTCTTTTTGTTTTCCCCTAACTCGCCACTTAGGTTACACGGGGGCCAGGGGGTGAAGTCGGGAGATTAATGACAGAGTTAAAAGAACTCATAATTATTTTATTGTCTCTAACTTCGGTTATCAGGTTGCCGGGCAACGCGCAGTGCTGTACACACTCGTTAGTCCGCTCGGCCACCCCGCCCCTAAAAATTAATCAATTGCCAGAACCGGAGCAAGATAAGAAAACAAAACATGAATAAAAATTAAGACTAAATGGTGACTGATAAGATAAGATAAGAAAACAAAATAAAGAACAGTTTTCAAGAAGAAAAATTACTAGTTTAGAAAAATTACTAAAAATACTAGCCCGTTTTGGTTACTATAATGAAACTTCTCTTCACAAGAAGCGGACACTCACGAGGAATCAAAAATTGTTCGCTATAGAAAGATGCATGTTTAAGAAAAATTAGAAGAAAAACATGTTAAAAAATAACATTTAGAAAACTATTAAAACATTTTTCTTTTTAAATTTACAAATTAAAACTATTTTTACGAGAAATTTAATAATATATTTTGCATAACAATATTGCACATAGCAAAGGTAAACTTGTTTGTATATAGAAAAAAATAGTAATTTGTAATTTTTGTTTGGTCTATCATAAATATTTTGTTTTCCAATTTGTTATGGATCGATAAAATCGTTACAATTGTTCTACTATCCTCGTTCAAAATAAACATTGTTTTTCAGTCAACTAATTTGTGAGGGAACTTCTTAAATATTCATTGAGAAATTCTTTAATACTCACTCAGAGATCACGAAAATGTGTTGTCAGCTCAAAGGTCCAGCGCAAGTATAATTGTTCGAAATGATTAGGGGGCGGAGTAGCCGAATGGGCTAACCGGCAACCGGATATATGAATCTATGATATGAAAATAGTCACGAGTTCGCGTCCCGGTGCCAGAGGGGATTTTAAATTCTCCGCCCTCAACCTCTGGTCCGGGAAAATCCCGTGTAGCCTAAAAAAGGCGAGGTAGGGAAGAACAGAAAAAAAAAAAAAAGTATAATTGTTCGAAATGATTGTGCGAACGCAGAAGGGTTAAGACACAAGCCTGGCGAAACCATCTATATGTTACTGCAACAACGGCGTAACTCGAAAGAAATTATTTTTTTGCATTATCATTTGCGTGTTTGGCCTGCTGTTCACAGTATTCGTTATTTCTTTAAAATGTCTAACCACAAAGTTTTAATCGAGTGTCTAACCACCAAGTTTTAATCGAGTGTCTAAATTGCGAATACTGAGCTTTCTGTTACACTAATTAATAACAACTTTTTCTTTAAAATTTAATCTGAATCATGTTGACATATTACAATGAAATCAGTAGAAATAGCCACAAAGTGTTAAGATTCTTAATTATATTTCAAAACCGGATTTCCTGTATTCATAATGGAAATAAGCGACAATATAGTGGATTAATGTTCTCAGATTATGAGCTTCATAATTTCCTTGGGAATAGTGATTTCTAACTGGATTGTTTTGGTCATAATTCTATAACTCCATTATCTTTCATCAGATTTCCTCGTTTCTTCGTTTTACAGCAGCACTACTATATATACTCTATTTTGTGAGCAATGAATATATTATCAGAAAGAATATATGACATTGTGGTAGATGACGTGACATATTATAATATTAATTTTTTTTTTTTTGAACATTAGAAATTCTTGTTTTATTCAACTACTAAATAAGTTATATATATATATATAAGATAAAAAAAACATAATGTAGAATATCTTATTTTATATATATATATATATAAAATAAGATATTCTACTTTATGTTTTTTTTATCTTTATAGTTTGAAATTTTGTTCATTCTACTGTTAAACTAGTTTCTCAAAAACTCATAGATTTTTTATTACAAATTTCAGATAATGCCATTATTAGACTTTCCGCTATCAAAATAATATTTTCATTTTTTAATACTTATACATGAAACAGGATTCAGAACTTCAACATAAAATTTAGTATCAAATTATTTTATCTTACCTTATTTTTTAAACGCTTTTGTGGATAAGTATCGGTTAATTATCGTCCATGAATTGGTCTGCATTTTCCTTATAGTTCTGCATACTTATAATTGATAATTTTTTACTGTACATCCTACCATTTTTTTTATCTTTCCCGTTTTATTTTATTTGATATATAACGTATGACACAGAACTACGTTATTGTTTATTGGTAATCTGGTTATGATAATTACTATCAGGAGTACCTATCTCCCCAAGGCCTTTCTATACAATTGGCCTTTCAGTTACATTTAAACGTCATATTATATACCTAGTTCCTTATTTTTTCTTCCATATTAATTAGTGGTATAAAAAAATATTCCCCCAATTCTCCCAAATTGAAATCCTGAATTCGCTATTGGGAAGAAGATTAATGAAAGGCACAATATATGAGGTAATTACAATCAACAAATAACATCAGTAGTGTTGCCAAAAAAAAAAAGATTGAATTCCTTCTTCCACAGTTGTTAGCTATCCTAAACATTTGCTTAATAATATGAAAACAACTTTAATTCTACTTTAAGTTTATACGAGCTTTTATTTTTTTATCAGTCATCGATTTTGGTCCTTCTAGCAACCATTTGTTCATCTTTTATGTAATCGGCAAAGAACGAAGAACAAAGTGCAAAGAACAAACCTGGATTCATTTAAAATATCACCCGAGTCGAATGTCTTCCGAATAAGAGGTATTTATGGGTAAATATTAGCCGGACTAACCAATGACGACAAAGTAAGTTGAAGTTAGGTTACTAAGTTCCTCAATGCACAACATTATATGAAGGAAATATAACTATAAAGTACTAGTTATTAAAATAAAATTAAAAAAAAAAATAAAATATTGATTATGTCATCCCGTTTCCCCTTTTATTGGCATTAATATTATATTCAAATTAAAATTATATTATCGAAGAAAATGTAAGAATGCATCCTTCAAAAGTATATTCAATTCTAAAAATATGCTTTTTAATAAGAAAGTAAACATAACAAATGTTTTTTGTTTTACAATACTTACGTTGTTTTACGTTACTACTAAGATTAAGATTCATTTCTCCCTAATCGGTAATCAGAATTATACAATAATCTGAATAATATAGGGTTTCGATTAATCCTGAATTAGTATATATTTATTCACATACAAATACATAAATACACATATAAATACCGGAAAACATTACATATCAGTTAAACGAATACGAAACACATATGAATTTCAAGAAACGTTTTTAGAATTTTTACAATTTATTTCTTTGGTTTTTTTTTATCTCAATAATCACTTAACATTTTCAACATATTAATACATTATTTTAACAGTATACTTTAACTTTAGATGATTTTTATTTATTATCTAAAAGAAACTATTTCTGCGACTAAGGAACCGGAAAGCTTAAAAATACAATATTAATTCTATTTCAAGTGGGAGTATAACATTTTTATTTTTTCTTAATCGGATGGTTGTTTCTTGTTAACAATGATTACCTTGACGACCTTGGAGCACCTAAGTATGCGACTTTGCTATCGTGCAACTACTACTAAGTTGTTAAATATATTAAAGAACAAAATTCGTACATATCAATCTAACTATCAAGTAATATTGTAAATGGTACTTACTGGCAAAACTGTTTTATTATTAGAATTGGCTTGGGTAAAGGCAACTGAACACACTATTAATAGAGACAACGAGGTGAACATGTTGGACGAGGAAACAGAACTACCGCATCTTAGCTTCTGCTGAGCCCATAGTGCAGCCGTACTGGAATCAGAAGTGGGGTAGATCGGTTGTTTGGATTGGCTTCCAAGTGGAGGGGATGAAACTGTGTGATTCGGACCATTGTTATTAATTAAATCTGGCAATAGTTTCCAGGAACACTGTAATGCAAAAATAAAATACTACATGACATAAAACATTTACACTATTACATAATAAAAGTTAGTCCAATCAATTCAGTTCTGCGCGTGCGCTAATCTATTACAAACCACCTGTTACTTCGTCTCCCACAAATTATTAAAATACCAGTGAATTAGTGAACTGAAGTGATTATAAACAGTGTTATTTGAACAATTAACAATTCACTCATCAAATGAACACAACAAAGTGAGTAATCGCTTATTTATCAAGATTACTGAACAGTGGTAACAACAATAGATTTAGGTGGAGATGTTAACTATTATATTGTTATCTATAAGCAGTCTCCCCTCCTCACTCAGTAGCCGGAAGGCTGCCGGAGAGGCAGGAGGGTCACATCTTATGCCGCTCCACCGTTCTAGCTAATTATTTTTACATCAGACTATCTTACTTTTTCAGCCAGATTATTTAAATGAGATATTACCACATGATAATGTCTACAAAAAGTAAAAGATCGAGAAGTTTAGGCAATAACAGCTTTCAAATCTCACCTGTTAAGCAAAGGCCAAGGCGTTTCAATAGGAAAACACCACCATCAATACCTGACAGACTTACTGAAACCATTAATGATCCACAACCTGGTTCTTCAACACCAATAACAGACGAATATCCGTTTTTCACCACCAATCCATACCAGATATTATCTTCAGAAGATACATTGGAAACAGCACCAACCCCTAGAGAGCCAAAAACACCTCCAATATTTGTTCGAAACATTAAAAATTTCCCTTTATTCTGTCAGCATCTCAATAAAATAATTGACAACGGTAAATACGTATTCCAAGAACAAATGACACCAAACTAATGCCGGACTCTCCGGATACATACAGAAAAATTGTGAAATACTTAACAGAATAAAAGGCTGAATATCACACTTATCAGTTATTTGAAGATAGAGCACTGAGTAAGAGGTCTCCACCCTTCAACTCCACCTGATGAAATCAAAGAAGAATTGACGGCTTTAGGCTACAATATCCGCCAAATCACCAACGTTTATAAAGAAAATAAAGAGCTATCGGGAGTAAACAACAAGATAGCACTACCACTATTTTTCGTGGACCTAGAGCACACTCCAGGGATCGAAAATATTTACAGAATTAATCGTTTGTACTATACTAGTATAGTGGTTGAAAAACCATACAATACAATGGAGATAGTACAATGCCATAATTGTCAAACCTATGGCCATACAAGAAGGTACTGCCATCGCTTACCTGGATGTGTGAAGTGCGGACAACAGCACAGGTCTGTGGACTGCATCAAGTCTAGGCAAACTCCTGCTGTGTGCGCACTATGCGACCAAAACCACCCAGCAAACTACAATGGATGCCAAACGTATAAAATACTTAAATCAAGAACACAGACAACACTCAGACAGGAAGAGACCTCCAGGACTCCCAGACACCCTTTAGACGTGTGAAAAAAGGTCTGTCTTTTGCTGAAATCCTAGGTGAAACTGAACAGACAAATCAACCTCAGGCCCTGCCACAAACTCATCAACAATCTCATGATCCACTACCCCAATATAATAATACCCAAAAGTCCAGTCCTCATTAAATCTCGTATGTTCCTCCTCCTAACAATTCGACTGACATCACCAGTCTCCTTACATCATTTCTCTCAGAATTTAGATCTCTCATCACTCCGCTCATCTCCTTACTTACAAATGTCATATCCAATCTTATCCCACCGCCAAGAATTCCTTAAATATCCACAATAAAACCCATCTGCATTCTCCTCTGGAATGCGAATGGTGTTCGAAACCATATCAACGAACTAACTTTTTTTCTACAGGACAATAACATTGACATAGCCCTAATAACTGATACCCGACTAACTAACAAACGACAGTTCAACATACCTGGATACAAGATTTATCGAACTGACCACCCTGATGGAACAGCAAATGGAGGCACTGCAGCCATCATTCATCAATCCCTCTCCCATCACTTGTACCTTTTACCAGTTCATAATTTCCTGCAAACCTCAACCATAACAATCCAAACCTCACTTTTTCCTGTTACAGTTGTCGCAGCATAATCTCCACCTAATATAGTAATACCTGAACCTAACTTCATTTTCTTTCTCAATTCTTTAGGACACATTTCCTTATAGGTGCAGATCTTAATGCCAAACATCAGCAATGGGGAGCCAGAACCACTAATTCCCGCGGGCGAACATTGCTATTTGCTCTTAATTCCCATAATAGCAACATCCTTTCTCCTGATATTCCTACATACTGGCCAACAGATTCTAACCATAATCCTGATCTCCTTGACTTCTTCATTCACAAAGGGCTAGGGCCGCTAAATTTCGCAATTTCACGGCTCGACAACCTTTCCTGAGACCATAGTCCACTAAACCTATCCCTTTCCGCATCTCCTATCCCCAAATTATCTCCTCCCTCATTCACCAGAGGCCCAGTCAACTGGAACATTTTCCGCCAAACAATAACAGATGCAATAGACCTCAGAGTACCCCTAAAGACCCCTCAAGACCTAGATAATGCAGTCAGTTCCTTCAAAACCTTGATCCAACAAGCAGTCTGGACTGCATCCTCACCACTCCCCTCCAAAAAATCCCTTAAAAAGAATCCCTTGGCCCAACACTTTACTGACCTTATTAAATCCAAACGCCAATCTAGGGCCCTCTGGCAAAGAACCAGGCATCCTGATGATCGGAAATTATATAATTACTATTCCAAACAGGTTAAAAAAGAACTGGCTACCTATAGATCCCAATCCTACAATTCCTACCTTTCTTTCCTCTCTACCGATGACAACTCCCTCTGGAAAGCGACCAAACTAATCCTTAAATACCAATCTATTTCCCACCCACCCCGATGAGATGATGGATCCTGGGCTTCGTCAGATGAGACTAGAGCTGAAGAATTTGCCAAACATCTATCCAAAACATTCACTCCCCACACCGAACTCCATCCCACTCACACTGCTGAAGTTAAAGAACTCCTCTCTCCTTGCCTCCTAAAGCTGTCAACCCCTCTGAGGTCAAATTCCTTATAAACAACTTGAAACCTCAAAATCCCCTGAACATGATCTCCTAACTTCCCAGATCCTTAGAAAACTTCCCATAAACGCAATGATATTCCTCGCATACTTGTATAACTGTACCCTCCGCACAACTCACTTTCCTCTGATATGGAAACACTCCATTATTATCCTCTTCCCTAAACCAGGTAAACCTGTTAATAATACCTCATCCTATAGACCAATAAGCTTACTTCCGATCCTCTCAAAAATCTTTGAAAAAATCCTTCTCAAACGTATCCTACCCATTCTCGAAACCCACAATATCCCCTCCCATCAGTTTGGATTCCGCTCAAGACATTCCACTGTTCAACAAGACCTCCGCGTTGTTGACCATATATCCTCTGCGCTTGAAAGCAAGCATATTGCACTAGTGCCTTTCTGGACGTAACGCACCTTTCGACCGGGTGTGGCACGATTGCTTGCACTTAAAACTCAAAAAAACTCACTTACCCCAATCCTTGTACCTAGTCCTCAAATCCTACCTCTAAAATCGTTCCTTTCAAGTCCGCTGCGGCAGTGAATTTTCCAACTATTATCCAGTTCAGGCTGGTGTTCCACAAGGCAGTGTCTTGGGCCCAGTTCTCTACATCCTTTTCACAACTGACATTCCAACCCATCCTAATACCCTTCTAGCAACATTAGCTGACGATACCGCCATCCTATCTTCCCACCCAGACCCTGAAAATCCCTAAACCTTCAAAGACACATCTCCCTAATTGAGCAATGGTGCAAGAATTGGCGCATCAAGATCAATGAATCGAAATGCAAGCATGTCACCTTTACCCTCGGACGCAGATCTTGCCCACATATCCTTTTCAACTCAGTACCTCTTCCCATCTCAGACACAGTTCGATATCTTGGATTTCTTTTAGACAAAAAACTAACATGGAACCCACGTACCAGACTTAAAAGACAACAGATTAACCGACGACTTGGCCAGTTATACAGACTACTTAACAGAAAATTTAACCTCGCAATTGAGAACAAACTATTAATATACAAGACCGTACTGAAACCCTTCTGGATCTACGGACTTGAACTGTGGGGGACAACTAAATTTTCGAACATCAAACATATCCAATCCTTCCAGTCTAAAGTCCTCCGTATAATAGTCAATGCTCCTTATTATGTTACGAACAAAATCTTACATCATGACCTTAACATCCCTTATGTCCTTGACGTTATTCCATCCCGATTTTCAAATTTTCATCATCCTAATCCCTTAGCCCAATCCTTATCCAGTTCCAGTCATCCCTACAATCCTCCTCGAAGGTTGAAGCGGCAGTGGGCTCGAGATCTTTTGTAAAGACGTCATTGGAGTCCTGGTGATGGCCAGCTTCTCCACTCATCATGAGCGTATGTGGCTTTAGTGCCCTCTCTTAGTTTCCACTGGATTCCCATCCCAGTGATGCGGCTGAGAGAGAAGCGCTGGGAGCTCTTGCAGTCTTGCCTTATCCTCCACACGTGGGAGAAAAGGCCCGACTCGGAGCTCCCTCGGCTGACTGTAAATATTGTAAATAAGTATGAATGTATTTTTATTTATTTATTTTTTTATTTAATGTTGTATCATGATCGAATTATTCTGTTACTCTTAAGTTTTATTTTATTTTGTTATAATCTTGTTTTTCTTTTATTGTGTATATGGTATGTTTGTATTTCATTCATCCTAAATACCCAATCCCCTTAATTGAGACAAAATGTATTTTTTTCTAAATAAAAAAACAAATCAATCAATA